ACAAGCACAGGGAGATGCATGGGCTGACATCTGCAGCCTGAAAGAGTGATGGCCTTGGAAAGGGCCATAAGTTCCACCACACTATTGGTGGTTCTTGCTGGGCAGCTTGGAGAAGGTGCAATAGTCTCTAGCTCCACTGTTACTGCTAATATAAGTAACGTTTGTAAAATTCAGACCTAAGAAACAATTTAGGACAGTCAAAATAATAAGACTATTTATTGTTCTTAAATAATTAAATTTTTTTTTTTTTTTGTAGAAATGGGAGTTTTTCTGTGTGGCCCAAGCTGGTCTTAAACTTCTGACTGCAAGCAATCCTCCTGCTTCCACCTCCCAAAGGGCTGGGATTACAGGCATGAGCCACTGCACCCAGCCTCCACCTTTTGGCTATTATGAGTAATGATACTATAAACAATCACATACAAATTTTTACATGAACACAGGTTTTCATTTCTCTTGAGCATTTAACTAGGAGTGGAATTGTTGGATTACATGGTAACTACATTTAATCAATTGAAGAACTGCCAGACTGTTTTCCAAAGCTGTTGCATCATTTTACATTCCCACTGGCAGCCAGTGAAGGTTCAGATTTTTCCACATCCTTGCCAGCATTTGTTGCTACCTGATGACATTTTTTTTTTTTTTTTTGAGACAGAATCTTGCTCCGTTCCCCAGTTGGAGTGTAGTGGTATGATCTTGACTTCCTGCAACCTCCGCCTCTCAGGTTCAAGCCTGCCTCAGGTTCTCCTGCCTCAGCCTCCCAAGTAGCTGGGACTACATGTGCATGCCAACATCCCAGCAAAGTTTTCTGTACTTTAAGGAGAGACAGGGTTTCACCATTTTGGCCAAGCTGGTCTAGAACTCCCAGCCTCAAGTGATCTGCCTGCCTCAGCCTACCAAAGTGCTGGGATTACAGGAGTGAGCCACTGTGCCAGACCCCTGATGACTTTTTTGATTCTACACATTGTAGCAAGTATAAAGTGGTACTTCATTACGGCTTTGATTTGCATTTGTCTGGTGAACAATAATGTTGAGCTTCTTTTCATGTGCTATTGGCCATCTGCATATCATCCTTGGAGAAACGTCTTTTCAAATCCTTTGCCAGTTGTTGCTGGGATAATTTATATTTTTTGTTACTGAGTTATAAGAGTTCTTTATATATTCCAGATATAAGTCCCTTATTAAATAAATGATTTATAGTAATTGTCTGTGGGCTGTACTTTCACTTTCCTGGTGGTGTCCTTTTGAAATATAGTTAGTCAACAGTACTGATTCTGCCTCATCTTTAAAAATCTAACTCAGCACTTGCAAAAATAATCACTAAGTGAAAAACTTCTCTTGTAATATGCATTTGTCATTGATAAATAGTGATGGCTACTCCCACTTCTTCAGCATACATACAGCACATATGACAAGAACTGATTCTTACTTTGCACGTATTAGTAGTTTCATCCAACTGTAAAGCAACCTCTCCCTCTCTGGTAGTGTCCACAATATAGTTATCAGTCTTCCGTCGACCATCCCATTACCACTGCATATGCCATCTAACAGTGTCATTTGATGAAGTATTTAACTGAAGAAGTCATTCTGCTGTCTTACTCTTGCCTAAGCTGGAGTGCAGTGGCAAGATCACAGCTTACTGCAGTCTTGATCTCCTGGGCTCAAGCAATTCTCCGACCTCAGCCTCCCAAGTAGCTGGGACTACAGGCACCTGCCACCACGCCTGGCTAATTTTTGTAATTTTAGTAGAGATGGGTGGAGTTTCGCTATATTGGCCAGGCTGGTTTCAAACTCCTGACCTTGTGATCCACCTGCCTTGGCCTCCCAAAGTGCTGGGATTTACACACATGAACCACTGCACCTGGCCGCTTGGCTAATTTTTTTCCCCTTATTTTTTGTAGAGATGGGGTCTCCATATGTTGCCCAGGCTGGTGGTCTCAAAGTCCTGGGTTCAAATGATCCTCCCACCTCAGCATCCCAAAGTGCTGGGATTATAGGCGTGAGCCACTGCACCTAGCCTGCTGTCTCTTTTAAGCATTAACTTCTTTTTTTTTTTTTTTTTTGAGACGGAGTTTTCCTGTTGTTACCCAGGCTGGAGTGCAGTGGCACTATCTTGGCTCACCACAACCTCCGCCTCCCGGGTTCAAGCAATTCTCAGCCTCCCGAGTAGCTGGGACTACAGACACATGCCACCATGCCCAGCAAATTTTTTGTATTTTTAGTAGAGATGGGGTTTCACCATGTTGACCAGGATGGTCTTGATCTCTTGGCCTTGTGATCCACCCACCTCGGCTTCCCAAAGTGCTGGGATTATAGGCATGAGCCACAGCGCCCGGCCTAAGTATTAACTTCTTATTGCTAATTTTGCAGGGGCTTTACAAGTTTCTTGGTAATAGTAGAATTTGCATATATTTTTACTTCAAGTGCACTTGTAAACAATTTCTCCTCTGGAATTTTGTATCTTCTCTGCTTTTAGCAATAGATTTTTTACTTTAGTGGTATTACTTTTCTTCTGCTCTGAAAAAAATTGTATTAACAGAGAGGTAGATCATTAGGCTTTACTTAATAATGAAGCAAAAGCTTTGAAGGCCTTACGCTTTTATCAAAAATGTTCTAAGAGAGAAACACTGATACTGGAGGTAAATGGATCCCTTCTCTTATATGATCAATTTTTATATATTCACTTTTTTTTTTTTTGAGACAGAGTCTCACTCGGTCACCAGGCTGGTGTGGTGCAGTGGCATGATCTCGACTCACTGCAACCTCCGCCTCTCGGGTTCAAGCAATTCTCCTGCCTCAGCCTCCTGAGTAGCTGAGACTACAGGTGCACACCACCACACCCAGCTAATTTTTGTATTTTTAGTGGAGACAGGGTTTCATCATTTTGGCCAGGATGGTCTCAATCTCCTGATCTCATGATCTGCCCACCTCAGCCTCCCAAAGTGCTGGGATTACAGGCATGAGCCACTGTGCCCGGCCTATTCACTTCTTAATCAAATTTTCTTTTATGGAAACTAGTGTAAAAATAATCTATACTACTACTGGAGTTCTTTGCATTATGTCTATACTAATGTTGAACTACAGTTGACCCTTAAACAACACAGGTCTGAATTGTGTGAGTCCACTTATATGGAGAGTTTTTCAATAAAAGTTATGCTGAGTGTGCCTGCCTCTTCTGCCTCCTCTGCCACCTCCTCCACCTCTTTTTTGCCTTTGCTACCTCTAAGATGGCAAGACCAACCTTTCTTCTGCCTCTTCTCCTCACCTGCTCTATGTGAAAGTGACAAGGACAAAGACCTTTATCATAATCCACTTCTACTTAATGAACAGTAAATACATTTCTTCTTGCTTAGGATTTTCTTAACATTTTATTTCTCTAGTTCACCTTATTAATCTCTATATAATACATATAACATACAAAATATGTGTTAACAGATTAATGTTATTGGTAAGACTTCTGGTCATCAGTAGGCTATTAGTAGTCAAGTTTTGGGGGAGTCAAAAGTTATACTTGCATTTGACTGTGCCAAGGGTCAACAACCTAACCTCCACGTTGTTTTTTTTTTTTTTTTGAGACAGAGTTTCACTCATGTTACCCAGGCTGGAGTGCAATGGTGTGATCTCGGCTCACCGCAACCTCTGCCTCCTGGGTTCAGGCAATTCTCCTGCCTCAGCCTCCTGAGTAGCTGGAATTACAGGCACGCACCACCATGCCCAGCTAATTTTTTGTATTTTTAGTAGAGACGGGGTTTCACCATGTTGACCAGGATGGTCTCGATCTCTTGACCTGGTGATCCACCCGCCTCGGCCTCCCAAAGTGCTGGGATTACAGGCTTGAGCCACCGCGCCCGGCCCCCTTCCACGTTGTTTAAGGGTCAACTATGTTTAAACTATGTTGTCCTGGTTTGCAGAATTTATTATACTATATTCATCATTACTTTTATGCTTCAATGAACCACTGTTGAGCCATGATCCATTCTGGGAAGCTAAGAATGTAATTATCTTAAGCAAGGAAGAATGAATATAAATTTAATCATAACATACGAATGACATGAAAATTCAGATATCAGAGTCAAATGCTTCTGTTAAATGAATGTTTGCCAAGACAAAACAACCAATGCAATCAATCCTTGTTATCCATTAACAGTCTAATAAATTATAACAGATACGATAAATTAAACGGGATTTGGAGGAATATAATTTATCTTACATTTCCAAATGTGAAATAAATGTGAACAAAATAAACCTGTTGCTTACTCATACCTAACTGCTTGGGAATCTTAGTATGCAGTCAGGTACTTCAGTAGTTCAGGAAACCCACTGAGAAACATTGCCCCAAAACCCAGAACCTAGCATGTAGCAGGAACTTGAAGAGTGGCTGTTACTATCTACATTCTTACCTGTTCTACCTGCCTTGTAGCTTGAGAACACGTCTGTCTCACCCTGGCTAGGTGCTCCCTGAGCTTCAGCCACCTGATTAGTTGATAGACTTTATTGGAATTTCTGGGTTGCAAGCCTAAGGACCTTGTTTATTTTGCTCACAGCTATGTCCTTAGGTCCTATAGCGTCTGCTATACAGTAAAAGCTCAATAAATATATATGAAATGAATATATAAATCAAAATGAGAGAAATTAAATTCCTGTGATTTGGGCCTAAGAAAGGAGAAAAATCACTGGATAAATAACTATTTTTCTAAGCAGAATGTAGCTGCCTACAGAAAGGCACCTATGGTGTATTGGCTAACCACTTTGTAATCTAATCATTAACAATTAACACAGACCTTTCTCCTTGAAGTTACTTTTAAATATTAGAACTTCTATGACTTCAGCATTTTCAGTGGAATTCTAATGTTTAAAAATATCATATTTTTGGATTTTTAATCTCACATATAAATTTATATACAGCGATATCAGGGAAAACTCTCTTAACTACTGACCAATGAGTAGTTCTGCTAGCTTTAAGAAGTGGTGTGTGTATGTGTGTGTGTATGAGTGTGTGTATATAAAGAATAAGAGTAAAATCTCCTCTTAAAAGTCTGTTTAGTAAGTTTTGCTTTGCTTTTTGTATAAAGAAATTGTTTTCTGTGCCTTGTGAGGACTTATTCCTGCTTTAAAGAAAACAGCAATAACTCATGGTCATAGAGAGTAAAGGATGGTTACCAAAGGCTGGGAAGGGTGGTTGGGGGTATAGGATGGGGGGAGGTGGGAATGCTTAATTGGTACAAAAAAATTAGAAATAATGAATAAGGCCTACTATTTGATAGCACAACAGGATGACTACAGTCAATGACAATTGTATATTTTGAAATAAAGAATGTAATTGGATTGTTTGTAACTCAAAGAATAAGTGCTTGAGGGATGGATACCCCATTTTCCATGATGTGCTTATTTCACATTGCATGCCTGTATCAAAACATCTCATCTGCCCCATAAATATATAAACCTACTGCGTACCCACAAACATGAGGAAAAAAAAAAAAACTGCAACAGAAGCAGAGTCAGTTCTGTTAGTCATTGTTAGCTCTGCAAAGAGAATGGGTATGACAGTGGTGAGATTTTAAACAGAGGAAAGGAAAAGGAATGTACTGCTGAAAAGAGACTAAGACAAAGCTTAGGGGGAAAAGGTTACACATTCCATGTAGCAAACAACAAAGCCAACAATTTCCTTTGGCAACAAAAAAGCTGCTGTGAGGTAATAAACATATTTTCCCTATACTGCGGCAATGCAATTTTTAAATCCTAAATTAGAGCCCTTTAAAATATGCCCCTCTGGCATATTTTTCCCATGTTCCACCAGTGTATTCTTAGAATTCCCAGAGATGAGAATGATGTAACTGCCCTTGGAATCTGCCCTGATCTCCAACATCTGGATTGTGACAATTACTGAGCTATTATTCAGATACAAGTTAATCAGAGAGGTAAGCCTGGAATCGAGTAATCCTTGCCAACAGGATAGAGGATTATAAACAAATTTGTGTTGAATGAATAAACAAATGAAACAATAAATAGATCACCAACTAAGTATCACAAACTCTTGATTATTAGAGGTTTCTAGGTGGCTTAATAAACAGTGCATATAAAAAAATCAACCCATTTACATGTTAGAAAGCATCTATCATTTGGAACAAGCCTTTAGGCAAAAATAGATTCTAAAATGTGGCTAGTGTAATGTAGTCATACTTGTTTTCCTCCTCACCCACTCTTTGCCAATAGCCCCTCATTAAAGGAAAATATTTATTTGTCCAGTGATAAGTACTTTGTAGAAGCTCAATAAACCTTTATAAAACCAAACTAATACTGCTAATGAAAATGTCTAAGAGAGGCCGGGCGCGGTGGCTCAAGCCTGTAATCCCAGCACTTTGGGAGGCCGAGGCGGGTGGATCACGAGGTCAAGAGATCGAGACCATCTGGTCAACATGGTGAAACCCCGTCTCTACTAAAAATACAAAAAATTAGCTGGGCATGGTGGTGCGTGCCTGTAATCCCAGCTACTCAGGAGGCTGAGGCAGGAGAATTGCCTGAACCCAGGAGGCGGAGGTTGCGTTGAGCCGAGATCGCGCCATTGCACTCCAGCCTGGGTAACATGAGTGAAACTCCGTCTCAAAAAAAAAAAAAAAGAAAATGTCTAAGAGAGAAAGCTATAGGCAGTTCTGTCAAAAACAGAGCGCCATATAATGTATATACCCTAGTTAAAAACAGAGCAATCAGTGATATAAAGGTTAGTCCTTTCTGGGCCACTGAAGTGTGATTCAGTGTGTAAATATGGTTAAGACTTGGATTTATTTCACATAAGTTTTAAACATAGGTATCTCTGGTTGTGCTACGGAATCATCAAAGTGATGAATATAATTTAAAGTTAAGTTTAAAAAAATTCAGGCCTAGGAAGCCAGCCTCCAAACCTGTTCACTGATTTAATTTTAATTTCAAACTTAAGTCTTATTTGTAATTCAAAAAAAAAGGGCAAATTCACAATTACAAGGGATAATGTTTCTTGTCACATATTCAGCAGATACCAAATCATTATGGTCTATGAATATAGTCCAAAAGAAGTTCTTAAAGTTAGAAGTGCCTTTATTTTTCTTAGGAACTCTATTATAACTTGAGCTACAACTTTCATGAAGACACTAAAAACAAACAGAAATCTTTACCTCTTGCAAATAAATTTCAATTACATGAAGCGCTGGATTTTTCCTGTAGCCCTCATATTAAATTTTGTGCTTAGTATTAAAGGAATTAAAGTCAATTTCTTTACCAGTGCATTATGGGGAACACAAATTAAGATGAAAAAATGAACTGGGAATATGAATGCAAATATTGTGTATTCATATTCTCATACAGCATAATCTGTAAATCTAGTACTAATGAGACTCAAGATTTAAATGGCTGAAGAATGTTTTTAGTGAATTATTGTCAATCAATGCCTCTGTTCCAGGATAAATGTAATCTTGAAAGGCAAAACACCTATTATTACAAATTCCTAACTAAGTACAGTACTTCATTATTTCAAAATGTCACTGTCAATTTATAGAGTAACAGATAAACATCTTTCTACCATATATCTGATTGCCTTTACTAGACTAAATGAAACACTGGCTATTAAGAAAAAGTATAAACAATATTTTTATAGCAATAGAAGAAATCGAATGTGCATTAAAACTCTAAACTAGTTACAGCACTCCAAATTTTCACATTTGTTAATGTGGATATATTGGGTTTCATTTTTAAAAAATATTTTTAAATGTATCTTTTTTGTTTGTTTGCTTTTAAGAGACAGGGTCTTACTCTGTCACTCAGACTGAAGTGTAGCGGTGCAAGCATATAGCTCACTGCCACCTTAAGCTCCTGGGCTCAAGTGATCCTCCCACCTGAGCCTCCTGAGTAGCTAGGACTAAAGGCATGCACCACCATGCCCAGCTATTGTTTAAAAAATTTTTTTTGGTAGAGATGTTGCCCAGGCTCATCTCAAACTCCTGGCCTCAAGCCATCCTTCTGTCTTAGCCTCCCAAACTGCTGGGATTACAGGTTTGAACCACTGTGCTGGGCCACACTTATTACAGGGTCCCACTTTGTTGCCCAGGCTGGAATGCAATGGCATAAACATGGCTCACTGTATTCTCAACTCTCCAAGTAGCTGGTACTACAGGAAGGCAACACCACCCCTGGCTAATTTTTGTATTTTTTGTAGAAATGGGGTTTCACCATGTTGCCCAGGCTGGTCTCTAAACTCCTGAGGTCAAGTGATCCACCCCCTGGCCCTGGCCAGGTTTTATATCGTGTTATAATTAAATATTGTTTTTTCCAAGTTACTTTATTTTACATAAATTCAAATATTCATTTATTCAATCACTTAACAAATATTTACAGAGTACTGACTTTGTCCTAGGTACACTGTTAGGGGACAGGGTTACAAACATGAATGTGATATGATTCTTGCTCTTAACAAACTCACAGTTTAATGTAATACAGGGATAAGTAAATAAAATATAATAGTTCAGGGTTATACTAAAATTGTATATGTTTCACATTTGCAATAACTAAAGGATAGCCTATTCAAACTATCCTTAGAATCTTTTCATCATCGTTCAGAAATAAAACTCTTACTTGTTTTAGGGAAATTTTTAAAAAAGAAATTTAAAGCAGATACATTAAAAATGATAATCTTACAAACATCTGTGAACATAGCATCTCAAATTAACAAATTCTAATATTTGTTTCATATTTTATTTTAAGGCTGTTTTCTAAATCCAGAAATTTCTTGATTGATCCAAGTACTAATGACTACTTGAGATTATTATTTGTAGCTCTTGTCAGCTATATGACCTTGGGCATATTTACTTAACTTTGCCTCTCAGTTTTCTTTTCTGAAAAGTGGAGATAATCATACCAATCTGTGCTAGATTATCTGCCATTTACCCCCTCAGGATCCATGTTCTACACAGCTTTGTGCCCAAGGAGGTTCTCCAACCTTCCAGCTTCTAACTGGGCTAAATTAATTGGAGATACTAGCAGGACATTAGACAAGGAAGATGACGCTGTTTCCTGGTTTCCTCCCTACTAGGCTACCAAGGTTAGCTATATCCCTCTATCAAAAGCAGTTTTCTCCATATATAGCACCCTCTCCTAGGCTTTCAGGCCTAGAGATGATAATGGTTCCCTTTAGCCTTTTAGCCTTGGAGTCTGTATTAACTTCTTCTTCTTTTTTTTTTTTTGGAGACAGACCCAGGCTGGAGTACAGTGGTGTGATCTTGGCTCACTGCAACCTCTGCCGCCCAGGTTCAAGCGATTATCCTGCCTCAGCCTCCTGAGTAGCTGGGATTACAGGCACATCATGCCCGGCTAATTTCTGTATTTTTAGTAGACACAGAGTTTCACCATATTGGCCAGGCTGGTCTTAAACTCTTAAACTCAGTGACTGACCCACCTCAGCCTCCCAGAGTGCTGGGATAACAGGCGTGAGCCACTGTGCCCAGCCTTTTCTGTTGATTTTCAAAAACCCTGCCCACGTATTTACAAATGGTCACCTTATTAAATTCTTCTTAAATAACCTAGTTTAAAAGTGTCATCTATTTACTGCCAGAATGCTGACTGATATACAACTTCATGGGTTATTCTGAGGATCATATGAGATGATGATTAGTGCTTAGTACAGTGCCTGGCACATGACAAATACCAGGTAAGGATTGAACATTATTGCTATCAATAATGTTTTTATTATTTCGAGGTTCTATGTTCATGCTATATATACCTGAATATGTACAGGCAGTTGAGAAATTCAGAATGCTGGGGATCTTTTGCTAATTCTCACAGTATTTCAAAAATATATTCAAATGTAAAATGTGTTTATTGCTAATTGATCTTAATATTTAAAAAGAATAAGAGGACCTTAAAAGTGATATAATTCATATAGTAGACATAATTTCCTGGACTATAGTTTCTTCTATAAACATGCTTCTGAACTCATTTCTTGCAAATCGACTTCCTGTAACCACCCCAAATCTGGCAAAATATAAATAGTCCATAAATTAAAACAAATTATTGGGTTTTGGGGTCATAAAAAGAATGGACTGATAATGATATTGCCAATGATATACTCCATCATATAAAAACCCTTGAATTGGGAAATAGATCTTCATCATCCTTATTTATCAATCATATCATAGGCATGTACCATCATTTGACAGATTACCTCATCAAAATCCTGTTAAAGATCTGCTTAACCTTTACCTTACCTCATCCTTTATATCTTCCTGTTGTTGGGCTGTGAAGATCTCCATTGCGGCCATGAGTCTCATCATTAACTCATCTACTGTTGTGTTACCTAAAATAAAGAGATTGTCAAACTTTATATAAGCTTTTTATATATAACTTCAAATTATAAAGTATTAGAAACTGGAAAGTCATTCTAGAATTAACCAGAAAGGAATAACCAGTCTAAAAAAATTACACTTAAAATACTTTTGTGGTTTTATGAAATGTTTCACATGTTCAACAAAGAAAGAGTAAACTAGTATACCGGCAGTTGAAATTTCAGAACAGTTATATTTGAGGGAGTAGTTTCTTAATAAGAAGGACTTTTAGCACTATATACAAGAATGTCCAAATCATGAGGTTCAAAAGTTCTGTCAAATTATGAAAACATATCTAGTTAATAACCCTAGCAACAATTACCAATTGTTTACATATCACTGATTAGGCTAAGATATTTACAAATACTAACTATCTCATTTAATCTGTACAACAATTCTATGAAGGAGTCATTATGATCTGATTTTAAAAAGAAGAAGAATGAGTCTTAGAGAGCTCAAAAAACCTGCCTGACCAACGTCAAGCTGGTTAAGCGGTGAGGCAAGAATTTGAAACCAGAAGAGGTTGACTGGAAGCCTGTCCTCTTTGCCACCCACCTCAGTCTATTACCTTTACTTAGAATTATCTTCTATCGCTAAAAATCCTCTAGTGAAACAAACAGTAATTCCATTTCTGAAAAAAATTGATTTCTTTTTTTGCCCTATTGATATTTCTCCCTTTCAGCTGCTTTTAAATGATTTTTATAATCTTTATAAAGAAGGTATTTTAAATGTTTGATTTTTCTTAATGTCATTTTATTCCCTGACCATGTCCATAACAAACATATAGCACATATATGCCATTTCCCAAACATATTTAAGTCATTGTTATTTGCTTGGGATGTACCTACAGTTAAAAAATTCATGAGGATATATAAAGATATGACAAGTCTCTTCTCTCAAACCTTCAGGCAGAAAGAGTTAAGTTTTCTCCAAGGCTTGAGAAGGGGTCTTCTTCCCCATTAATG